AATTACTATCACAGTAGTACTGTTGCTATGCTGGACTAATTAATATCACAGTAATACTGTTGCTATGCTGGACTAATCCGTAACTTTTTCCTGTTGTTAAACTGTACTAATCCATATCTTAGCAGTGTTGTTGCACTGGACTAATTACTATCACAGTAGTACTGTTGCTATGCTGGACTAATTAATATCACAGTAGTACTGTTGCTATGCTGGACTAATTAATATCACAGTAATACTGTTGCTATGCTGGACTAATCCGTAACTTTTTCCTGTTGTTAAGCTGTACTAATCCATATCATAGTAGTAGTAGTAGTAGTGTTATTAAGCTGGACTACTCCATATATTAGTAGTGTTATTAAGCTGGACTACTCCATATATTAGTACTTTTGCTGTAATGTTAGACTAATTGTTTTAAAAAGAACACAAACAGGAAGGGAAACAACTTAGTATTTAGTTCATATTAAAATAATTCTGTACATCACAATATTTAACCATTGAGCATCTAAACAGTGTGTGTGTGTGTAACACAGAGAGAGCACTTCCGTTATTAATATGTCTGGTTTGTTATAATTAAGTCACTTTTTTTTTAAAATACAGGTAAAGGTCACAGTCCAAGTTCCCGAACATGACCAGAAGGATAAACCCAACGTAAAGCCTTGGGGTAAGATCGGCAATTCCAGTAAGAATTGGGAAAATGAAGATGTTGGTATTTCCAAAAAGAACAGAAAAATAAAGAATGCTCTGAAACTTAGGTAAGTTTGTTTAAAACTTTTATTGCACTTGTTCTTGTTGTGGGAAAATATCTGGTGCCGGGCAAAACGTTCTCCTTAAACTTAAAAGACTAACTGTCTCATGGCAAGTGTACTACCCAAACTTAAGAGACTCGCTGAAGCTTAGTGAATGTCTTATACAAATTCAAGAGTCTTAGTGAGTCACATTGAATGTCCTATCGAAACTCAAGAGACTCACTGAAGCTTGGTGAATGTCTTATACAAGCTCAAGAGTCTTAGTGAGTCACATTGAATGTCCTATCGAAACTCATAAGACTCACTGAAGCTTGGTGAATGTCTTATACAAGCTCAAGAGTCTTACTGAGTCACGTTGAATTTCTTAACAAAACTCAAGAGACTAACTGAAGCTTGCTGAATGTCTTATACAAGCTCAGTAGTCTTATTGAGTCACGTTAAATGTCCTAGCCAAACTCAAAAGACTCACTGAAGCTTGCTGAATGTCTTATGCATTCAAGAGTCTTACTGAGTCACGTTGAATGTCCTAGCCAAACTCAAAATATTCGCTGTAGCTTGTTGAATGTCTTATCCAAGCTCAAGAGTCTCACTGAAGCTTGTTGAATGTCTTATACAACCCAAGAGTCTTACTGAGTCATTTTGAATGTCCTAGCCAAACTCCAAATACTCACTCAAGCTTGCTGAATGTTTTATCCAAACTCAAATCTCTCACTGAGGCTTGCTGAATATCCTAGCCATACCCAAGACTCACAGGGTGAATGAAGTGGAAGGTTTATATTTAAACTTTTCATAAAGATATTTATTTCTCTTATATCGTAAGGTGTAAAATCTCTAGTATCTCATAGTTGTTTATGATAATTCAAGAATAAACCTAACACAAAGTTACCTGATCTCCATAACAACCAGAGATTCAAGGAAGTAGTGTGCAGAAGGATAGGCATGGTGACTTATAGTGGTGGATTGAAAGAAACAAGACTTGGTGTAAAACTGAAGCAGAAATAAACATTGTATTTTTTTTAAGAAAGCAGAAGAATGACCAATCATATAAATGGAAACCATGGACTATTTCATCATGATATGTTGAGTTGAAAAGTGAAATGCATATCATCAGTAAATGTAGCAGACAAAAGATTAAAACACAGGTGAAACTTTAACAGCAATTCTTGACACCTTCACGACAGAAACAAAAAGGAATCTTCCCTGAAAGATAAATTCGCACTGCACATTCTCTCTGAAACAGACCAATCAGAAATACAGCTTACAAGAATCCAGAAACGTCTCTGCTCCCTGCGAGTGTCGTACAGCAAAATGGGTTTTTTAATGTTAGTTTATAATTTGAGTCTACTGAAATAAGACTACTATTCTTATATGACCGGTTATATGTATACTTTGTACTCTGCCACATGTTAAGCTGTGCAGTATTGTTTGAGTAAATCTTTCTTTGAGAACAACTTAAGAAACCAGTGTTAATATGTCAGATGTATTACCTAAATGTTATATTTTTCTCCATTTCAAACAGCTATACTGCTTTCCCCCCACTGGAGAAGTCTGATGGAAAAGGAAGACTGAAAAAGGTATGTTGTTTATATTATATATTAGTGGAAAAAAAGTTTTAAATCTGACTGTTACTCTGTGTGTTGGTTTAAGTTTTAAACCTGATTGTTATTCTGTGTTAGTTTAAGTTTTAAACCTGATTGTTACTCTGTGTTGGTTTAAGTTTTAAACCTGATTGTTATTCTGTGTTAGTTTAAGTTTTAAATCTGATTGTTACTCTGTGTTGGTTTAAGTTTTAAATGTGATTGTTACTCTGTGTTGGTTTAAGTTTTAAATCTGATTGTTACTCTGTGTGTTGGTTTAAGTTTTAAACATGATTGTTACTCTGTGTGTTGGTTTAAGTTCGGTTGTTATTGTATGTGGGTATTAGAGTGAGTATCTTTATAAATCATTACCTTTTCGTGTACTATACATCTATTGGTGTAGCCTAAGCTTAATCTTACTTAATAATCATAGACCACATGCAAAACTCTGCATGTAATGTGGACTTGTTTAAAACTGTGAAAACCTTTTCTACAGTATTGATGGTTAAGTAAAGAATAAACATATAATTACAATAGGTTAGGAAGATAATGTGATCAATATTAATACATTTTATAGGAGACAAATGGTAGATGTTGTGGGGATCAAACAACACAAAATGCAGTTATGATCTTTAAGCAGTATATTTATCAGCTATCTTCACCCTTGTCAAATTAACTTTAACATACTCAATTGTAATAAATAAATATGGGATTGAAACATGAAAATATTTCGGTTTTTTAAAGTATGTATAAACTGTTACACTTATACAGTTGAAAGTTCTTGTTCTATAAATATTTTTGTACCTATTTGAATAACAATGTTTATTTTAACTTTTATCTGATATCCAGAAGTATGTTCAGTGAACTAACATTTACTGACCTACAGGAGCCAATGGAACACGCCAGTATTACTAGCCAGAGCAAGCTGAATAGAAATAGCATGCCTAAGAAAAAAAAGAAAGTAGTGAAAAAAGTAGACAATTCCATCCTCGGATTTAGCTTTAAGCTCGATCCTGAACGGATCTGTGTCAGGGAAGGTGATGAAGACGATTCGGAACAAGGGACAGCCGTTTCGTAGAGATTGTCGGGGAACTTTTAAACATTGAAAAGAATGGGTAACTTTTATATGGAAAGTTTATTACGTATTGTGCGAAATAAATTTTGTAATACTTAAACTCACTTTAGACTTGAAGGCGTGATTTCTTTGTAAACTTTATTTTAAAACTCCCAGGAAGATCGTGAAAGAGCAGATTGTACATTATTTTATGCAAGAATGTATTATTTAAATCTATAACCCTAATGATGAATTTGAAATTGCTTATATTTTAATTAGTGAATACTGGTATTTTATGATTATAAAGCACGGTTCTCTGGTGCTTAATACATTTTAAAACTTTGGACATGTATTATTTCTGCCCGAGTGGTTCTTTTTTTCCCCTCTTATTCAGAAGACTAACTATTTTACTTTGAGTTCTTACCGTATGTTATTTTCCTAGTGTTTGATTTTGTTTTTTGCTCAACCTAATCTGGGACTATGTACTTCTGTGCCAGTGAATATCTCCAATGTGTTGTTTAACTAACTACGTTGACTTGTAAAGTGTTACAAATTAATAGTGTTCATCTTCCGCTAGCTACATTTACTTGTAAAGTGTCACAGGTTAACAGTTAATCATCAGCTAGCTCCATGGGGTTACAGTCTTAATCTTCGTAACTAAAACCATGTTGAACTATAAAGTTCTACAGTGTGGCTTATGAGAACTGACATTGGTCAAGATAATAGGTTTTATTGCCCAGTTCACAATAAAACATGTGCTAGATGGTAATAAGTTTTAATATAAAGTTAACAACAGATTCTTGCAGTACGGCAAGCAAGAGATGGTGGTCTGTTGCAGCAAGGATTGTAATAAAATTATCTTATCAAAATCTGCTTAGTGCCTTGTTTTTTTGATAGTTTTCATTGAATATAATAAATTCTTGAAAGATTTGTCATTTAACTAAAAATAAAAGGTTTAAGTTGTTGGAGATCTGACCAAAGACTTATAATATTTGTTTATTATAGGGGGGGGGGAGTAGAAATCCATTACTTTCAAAGAATGATCTGGAATATTTCACTTGTTGCACCACTGTGTAAAATTAAGTTTTCCAATTGGTGGTTACCGAAATTTTTTTTTCTTTAATGCACTGATCGTGACCACCAATAGGATCATATAACAGAGATGAAATGTTCAGGGTGAGAGTCCAATCATCATGGTTGATTGAAAACCAATGTAGACCCGGCTTGTGACCTTAACCATCAAGTTTTCCTAAGTTAGTTTGTCTCGTAATGATAAAATAAACAACCATTTTGATAGAATTCTCCATTAGTTCTCAATCTTCAAGTAATTTATATAGTGGGAGAACGAGTTTAAGGTTTTCCTGCAAACTTAATAAAAG